TTAAAAATAAAAAAAGTAGTATTATTTCATTTCTATTTATAAAAAAAACTATCTTTTTTTCATATAAACAAAATCACTTATTTTAATAAACATTTATGACATATTTCCTAAATCATTCCTCATAATTTACATTAATAAAAATAATTAATGCATATTTATATTAATTAACATAGGGCACTTTAATTCAATTTCTTTATTTTCAGATATAATTATTATGCTTAACTAATTTTTTAAAATGATATGATATAATTCTTTTCTCTTATATATAAAGATGGGGGAGTGTTATTTAAGTTCATCCACAATCCAGACAATTGGATATCATTGGCCGACCTATTGTTCATAATGAGACAATGAGAAGTTGTTGCATTGTGCGGAGCTCAAAACCGATGAACTTTCATGTCCAATTCAAGTTAATGCATTTCACATTAGAACTTGCTTCTTTTACTGTTTAAGGTTAATTACAGGCAGAATCAAACCCGCAACTCCCCCTTATAAAGAGTTAATATGCTATTAAGTTACAAGACAATTGGTTTATTATAGCATACATTATTACATGAGGGGAAAACCCTAGCAAGTTGCCATGTTTTTTTTCTACGAAAGCTTAGATTTTAAACGAATCTTTGAAGTTAATGTCAACTAAAAATTCAAAATAAAAAGTCGTAAGAAAGAAGATGAAGCTCACTGCTATTTTATAATTCTAATTAATTTATTTTATTTTTATCTGAAAAAAATAATTTAGTTTATCTTCTTTTTTTCCTTCCAAATTTAGAATAACATAAGTTTAAAAATGGGATCAATAAATTTGTGGCTTCTCTGGATGAAATGCAAATATATATACTCATTCTTTTTTAAATTATAAAATATTTTTTTACAAAATCTCACAGCTCTTTAAATACATTTTATAATCTTATTTTTTTAAGATAAAAATATAAATTTTTAAAAATATTTTTTATTTAATGAAAAATATTAAAAAAAGAGAATATATTGAAGAGAGAGATTACAGTGATTCTCGTAACTGCATTTATGTGCATATGTAAGTGCTGTAGAGATGAATAAAATAACTTCACCTTGAATCATTATTTCCTTTTCTATATCATCTTTAGACAATGAAAATATAATAAGATCACAACTAGGGTCACTTATAACGCAGGTCGATTAATGCGTTTCCATAAGATTAAGATCTCTTTCTCTGATCCATACTGCTAAACTTCTAGTAAATCCTTACATTAATTCCGAACTCGACTACAAGACAAATCTAACATATACTCCCCCATCCAAAATATAAGTAGCTTTTTTTTTATAAAAAAATCATATGCCAATAAAGTTCTCTTCCATAAAAACATATACTCCCTATATATTAAATTATAGAGCACTTTTAAAAAAGTTTTTTCATTTTAAAATATAAAACACTTTGAGTGGATTAAGGTTTTATTAAATATACCATTTTTAATATTATCATTTCTCTTTCTATAATTAATTTTCATTCATTTGCTTTTCAATGTATAAAATTATGGGTATTTTTAAAAGTTTATATTTTTATTTTAAAAAAATAAGGTTGTTAAGTGTATTTAATGAGATTTATTGGTATGTGAGATTTTATTTAAAAGTTTTTTTTTATAATTTAAGACATAGGGAGTATTGTTTTTCCTTTTTACCTCTAGTCCTGATTATCAATGTACTCCATAATAAATGATAGATACATTTATAAAAATATCTAAATTAATAAATACAAAAAATAAAATAAAAATTATATATATTAGATTGCTTTTACTTTAAATTAAAATTAGTTGAGAAAAAAATGCTTATAGCCCTGTATTTTAGATCGGAGGAAGTACACAACTCGGCCAACCTCCAAACGAATGAAATCATGTGTACGCGGTACAGTAACTTCATTAATCTTGATCAGTAGGCAATGAATTGATTCGACCACCGACCAAGTTGGCAAAGTACATAGTTAAATGCTTAATTAAAGATGCAGCTCATTAATGCTCATCCCATTTTCAGACAGTGAAAACCCTGCACGCAGAGGGCAAAATTTCCTGCAATTCGATGTGTGTTCACAACTACTCATACTCCATCCACCCAGTTAATATTATTAAACTTTTTTTTAAATATCATGTTAAAAATATAAAGTATTTTAAATTTTTAATATGCAATTATTAATAAGGTTTATTAAAAATACTCTTAATTAGGGATAATTAATAATATTTTTTAATTGAAACATTCTATTGATAAAAATAAATATAGAAAAAGAGGGCTAATTTAAAAATAATTAACTAACTTATGAAAATGTGTAATTTAACTAAAAGATATCTTATACTACTGGACACGTGTGTGTGTGTGTGTATATATGGGAAAATTGACTTTTGGTTATTGATTTTTTTTAATTATTAATCTAGTCTTTAATTTTTAACTCAAAACAACTCAATTCTTAATTTATTGGCTTGAAACAACTTAGTTTGTATAATTTTTTAACTCAGAAAATTATAAAAACGTAGTTGCAATGGACTAAAATTTAAGGGTAGATCAAAAATTTAAAGAAAAATTAGAAATTTAAAATTATATCATTAGCTTCACCTATGAATAATGATTAATTGTATGCAAAAAGTTATGTTATTAATTCTCCTCTCTCCCCCTCCTTGTGTGTGTGTGTGTGTATAAAAATTTCTAGAAAAATGAAACTGGTAAGCTTGAAGATTGTTCCATCTTCTGATTTACTCTCTCTCTAGTTTAAAATATAATTATTGTTTAATAGTAATCTGTATGCCAATTAAAATTTTTATTCAATTGTGATAATATATATTGTTTTTTTATTATTAGTTTCAATTTATAATGAGTGGGAAAAAAGACATAAATTTACAAACATAAAAATTCAGCTTAATAAACACAAGGGATAGTGGAATTTTTTTTCACAATTGCTAAGTCATTTATATTTCAGGCTAATATTAGCCAAGAGAAAATGTGCTTATATTATGGACTAGATGAAGTGTTTATTATTCCCTCATTCAAAATTAAGGTACTTTTAATTGAATTACACTCACAATGAATAAGTCAATTGTATTTGAAATTACACTTTCTTTGCATGTTCACCCCTTATTTAGCAGTAGAGTTGTTAATTAGAGGCGGAACAGCCCTTCAGAGTTTAAACAAGCTAACCTTATTAAACTTAATTGTATCTCAGTATTTCATTTTGATCAGCCCTCCTTGGCCCTTAGAGCTGAAGAGCCGGCCTCAGTGCCTTGGCCTTATATTTTTCTTCTTCTATTTTTCAATTTAAAAAATATATTTAAAATTCTAAAAAAATTATTACAGATACATTAATTCTAGGAAAACAAATTTAAATCAATTCATACAACAATAAATTTAAATCTAATAAAAAACAACAACATCACAAAATCAACACAAATAACAATCAAACTTTAATAGCATCATCAATTAAATATTGATAATTTTTATTATCATCAACATTAATATAATTTAATTCTTCTCCTCGTGAAGCCTCATCAATGACAAACATATTAAGCTTTTCATATTTTTTCTTTATCATTGTAAAATGAGGTTAAGGTTTTAGAATCAATGTAATGTTTAATTTGTTAATATTAAAATTTTTTAAAAAATTATAAAAGGGACTTAAAAGAGTGCTCTAGCTCTAAAAGGGCTGACTCTTTTATTTTAAGATTTAAATTGATTCTTTTATTTTAAGACTTAAAAGTGTCAACTCTTTTATTTTGAATTGTTATTTTACACTTTAAAGTAGCGGTCTAATTTTAATTTTTTTTTTGGGTTTAAAGGGGTTGAGATTGACTGTTCTATTTAGTAGGGTGTTTTAATTAAAAAAGCTTATTAACTATAACCCTTAATTAAAGATATTTTTGACAAAATTTCATTAAATACATCTTGAAAGACTTATAATATCTTACATTTTTTAACATGGTACTTTACAAAAGAGAGTAGTGGTAATTAAAACTAGCCATGCATGTATGAAATATGAATGCTACTAGAGTTGGCTTTCTCTCCATCTGCATGTCACCCTTGTGGCCGATGTTTAGGTTGCTTGGGGAAATTTATAACATTTTTAGGTTTGTTGAAATCTTACAAACTACAACAAAAAATAGAATATACGACAAAAATAAGCAAAGTCTTGTATATGAAGGTTTTTGTCAGAAGAAGAGACAAACTTGAAAAGGAGAATGGGACAAGTTGATCGATCAGTACCCAGACCTCTTTTTTCAGGCAATGTGAGTCTGGACTTTGGACTTGAACATTGAAAGGGGAAAAAAAAAAGGAACTCAGACTCAGACTGCAATTGTGAACAAGTTATTATTTTTCTAAGGTATTCAACACTTTTTTTGTTTAATGAATTCATCCTGTAGTGAAGCCACATATATAATTTGTGGCAAAAAGGTATATTTATATGTATGATTTACGGACAAGATGGTTTGTCTTTATGGAAGGCAATTGGTCTCTATATACATGAAATTTAAAATTTCTCTACTCTTTTGACTTCGTTATATTACGCCAAGGTGGCATCAAGTCCACTAATATAGTAGAGTAACAATCCCCTATTGATTCCTTTATGACAATGTTGTATTATTACATTTCAAGGATACACATCAAATCTTGAGATTGCAAATCAGAATTGATTACCACACATTTGCATCTTAATGAAAAGAGATCTATTGTGTCGCATGGCACTATCTGTTCGTGGGCATACCACACACGTAAGGAATTAGCCAGCCAAACTTGTGTTTATTCCAATCCAAAACTAATCGATTTCAGACTTTATACAATCATGCTGTGAACTCTTAATACAAATAAACAAGAGAGTGGCATGCAGATAAAAAAGTAGAAGTGAGTATTATCCATGACCTCACTTCTTCTCTTTATCGATCTCATATTCTCTCGTGTTCTCTTGACAAGTACGTACTTGTATCCATCATGCATTTCATATAATCTCACGCACACGCAAATACACGGATTATTTATTGGAAGAATTTGATTCAAGATTTACCACCAACTGATCCAGCAGTAACATTATTATCCCCGCCACCACTGGCACTTGCATATTTGTTACCATGGTTCCCGCCTGTCTCAACGGCGCCGCTGCCACTGGTGCAGTTGTTTCCACCGTTTCCGCCACTGGAGCCTATCCCGCCGATACTTATACCTATACTTAAGCCCCCGCTACCTCCATTGTCCCCATTGTCACTACATCCGCCATTGTCGCCACCACTAGGTTCACCTCCATAGCTTCCATCTGATCCTCCCTCGTAACCTCCTCCATTTCCTCCTTCATCGCCACCGCCTGCGTAACCTCCTCCATTTCCTCCTCCGCAGTCACAACCTTCTCCTCCGGCGTAACCTCCTTCACAACCACTACCACAACCTTTTCCTCCTTCATCTCCTCCTCCCTCATAACCTCCTCCACTTCCACATCCTCCGCCATAGCCCCCTCCGCTTCCATCACAACCTCCTCCTTCTCTTCCATTCCCTCCCGCGTAACCTCCTCCACTTCCTTCTCCTCCGCCCCCTCCGGTGTAACCTCCTCCACTTCCTTCTCCGCTTCCACAGCCTTCTCCCCCTCCGGCGTATCCTCCTCCACTTCCACAGCCTGATCCTTCTCCTCTGCCCCCTCCGCTGTAACCTCCTCCACTTCCTTCTCCATTTCCACAACCTCCTCCTCCTCCGGCATACCCGCCTCCGCTTCCACAACCTTCTCCTTCTCCTTCTCCTCCTCCACCTCCGGCGCCGTAACCTCCTCCATTTCCTTCTCCACTTCCACAGCCTCCTCCTCCTCCTCCATTTCCCCCTCCAGCGTAACCTTCTCCGCTTCCTCCTCCTTGCCCACTTCCATAGCTACTAACATCACCACCTTCACTTCCGTTACCATAGCTTCCATAACCAGGAGTCACACCTTCAGTGCCATGAAGCTCGCCAAGTTTGACTGATCTTCGACCCTCGGATATTCCTACAACCGCCATTAGTATCACCACCAGGAGAGTCCCACTCACAAGATTCCTCATCTTTAACTAGAAAAACAGAGTAAATAAAGATCGATATTAATCGGTCGATTGGCGACTTAGTCCGGCGAACATCGCTCGTATTTATACTGACAATTACGAATTAGGGGCCTCTAACGTGTCTTTTCTATTGTCCCTTTAATATCTTAACTTTCCTTTTTTTTTCTTTATATCATTAACTTCTATATAAAATAAAAAATATTTAAATATTTGATGTCTTAAAATAATAAAAATTTATATTTTTTATGATTTTTTAAAAATAATTTTTAAAAAATCATAAAAAATATGAATTTTTACCATTTTAAAACATTAAAGTATTCAAATATCTCTTATTTTATGTAGAAGTCAATAATTTAAAAAAAATAAAAAACGAAATTGAAAAGTTGAATATTATAAGGAGTATTAGAAAAGGAGACATTAGAGGTCTCTAGCTTGGGTCATAGATCGTTTAACCATTAATGCATTTCGTTGAGCTCTCTTTTTCTGCGATCGAGACTGCTAAACTTCCATTCGTCCTTTCAGTCCGAACAGGATTAGAAGACAGATTCTATATAGTCTGATCGACTCCCAACAAAACCTTGTCTCTTCTCTCAAGTACTTGAAGTGCTAATAACTGGCTGTGCACCACTCATGCAAGTTTCGACTATCTAACACAAACTTGCTCGTATATCTATGATATATTTGAACTTGTCCAAGTAATTAATAGGATGCATCTAATTTGTACATCCCATTTTTATTTATGAGAGCCGTGTACGTAGTAAATTTTTCTGCAATTCAGTGTCATTACAATGATGAGTAAGTAACAAAACAAATGGAAACAATGTCACTTATAAAATGGAACTGGCGGGCATGAAGCTCGTCCCACCATGTGGTTCACTTATAAGTCGTATTAAATATTAATGTAGCTTGCAACAAGGCTCTATATAGCACCCGAGCCCAACATGCCACCATCTAATCATAGTTAATTAGGTGGCATTTTGTATTATAATTACAATGAATCTAAAGAGTGTGCCTAAGTTATTCATGCCTCTTCTAGAGGGTGGTTTGGCGCATATTTTATATATATATATATATATATATATTATTGATATTAATATCGAGATTGGTGATATTGTTATTGTATATCACTTTTCTTGGACAAAGTTTTCTGTATCATCAGACTGGGCCTAAGTCTCTCTCTCTGTTTTCTTTTTTAAAATAGATAATTGCTAGGCTTAACAAATCAAAGCACAATATCCAAAGTCAGATTTTATAAGGCCCAACCCGAAAAGGCCCAATCTCCATTTCTGGCACTGTGTGCTCAATAAGGCAACATCCTCCGAGGCAGCGCAGGGAAGGTGCCGGCAGCCTTCAAGTTTCGAGGCTCACGCTCATTTTCCAGTTCTCCTTGCTCAAGTGTCGCACTATCGTAGTCCTTCAGACTATCAACAAGGGTCTAGCTTTTTCTACTCTTAGGGCATATAAATCTACTCGCAATAGAGACTTTTATATTCTCTGTCTCGAATTTCTTTCGGGAACTTCTGTGGCAAAAAGCTGGAAAGAGGGAAGATGGAGGCTGCAGATGAGGGAGTAGAGAGGATTGAGGATTCCAAGGATTTACAGCAACAGAGCAAAGCGTTTGATAAGCTCACTGACCGTGTCGAGGATCGCCAGCTCGACTCCACTCGCGTCCAAGAGGTCCCTCCCCGTCTCCTTAATACTTGCTTTTTTATTCGATATTTTATTCTGAGAAATCAAAAATTGTAAGAATTCGTTAGTTAGTGGTGATGGAGGCTTGGTTTATAATGATTAGGGCAGGGCAGTGCGTTCCACTTAAATGGTTTTATGCGATGCTTTCTAACAGTTCTGTGATTTGGTAGGCCATGGCGTCCATTGCTGCATCGGCAGAAGCGGACTGGAATGCGATGCGTTTGAGGTAAACAGACGAGCTTGTTATTTTCCAGAAAACGGTTGAAGTCAGAAGTTCCTTTTTTTTTTTTTGCAATCACCAACGCCATAATCCTTCTCTTTCAGTAAGTTGACGTGGGGATGTTTTACCAAGTGGAGAGGCTTTTGGCATGCTCCTTTCCAATCACATGCTATTTTGCTTTCAAATATTTTAAATGCACCAAAATACCCTATTTCTAATCAAGAGATTCATGTTAGTATGTTAGATTTCACTTGACTACCTAATCACTTTTATTTCAAAATTGTTGCTGGATGTTTTGATCTGTTTTGACCAACGCAAGTAATTGCTATGAAGTCTCTTCTTCATCATTATCTCTTAGTTTATTATTGTTATTCTTCTTGCTTTTTCTCTTTTATTACCCAATTCTCTGTCGTTTAATAAAAGTATGAGAATGGCATTTTGATAGATGAAATATGTAGAAAAAGACACTCTAATCTATCCCATCTGCGACAGGTTTATACCTTGCATTTAAATCTTTTGGGCTCCAAAATCAGTGGCTTGCAGTTATGATGGGTCATTAATATTTTGGCCAAGGCAATTAAAACCAAACCTGTCATTGAATTGGTAGGGGTACTAACGTACTAGTGTAAGTTTCATTGATCAGATTGTGGTAAAATCCATCATAATTAAATTAATATATTTTTCTAACTGAAATATTGATTATTCTAAAAATAATCTTGAAGTCTTGTTATTATCACACACATTACTACAAACAGTTTGCATAAAGCTACTAAAAATATTACAAGCCTCGAGATATCATTAGTTTATTATAGCAATAATGCATGTCATTGTATATATGCATCTATGTTTGTATAGACATGAACCATGAACCCAAAAACCATGTTCATACAAATAGACTTAAACCAAGGTGTATGGACAACTAAGTTTTTATTTCATGAGTGGAATATGGAGACAGGACACAAATTATTATTATTTTTTTAAAGGGCCCTCCTAGCTAGATCCTGGTTAACTGAACCTAAGAGGGAAGTTGAGTGTTCATGATTAAGGAGGGGATAGAATTTGTAAATTGAAAAATGCTTTTTGAGTTCAATAACTGAATCGTGAAGTGAAGGTGAGCATGTGGTGAGTATTACCTTGTCCCTCATTGCAAAGCACAAGGAGTGAGAAACATGAGCTTATATAAGGGAAGAGGAGCGGGGGGTCTTTTTCATGCTTTGTGTTCTGGGTATTACTTTGTGGAAAAAACCCATGGTTTATCAATCTTCTCCTTTTAGTCCAAAATTAAATAACCAGCTCAAATTTGTGAACCAGTTTTATTAAAATCTGTCAGTGTTTTTACAGATGTACCTGTTTTTAAGTAGTTTTTTTTTTGGAAATTTTTTTGATGTTGGTTTTGGCTTAGTTCTAGACTGAACTTGTTACGGATTCATTAATGAATTGGATAATATGTTTCCATTTTTATTACCTTGATTTTGGCAAACTTTTAGGATACGTTGGATAAGATTGAGGGGCTGATGACATACCATAAACTATCACTTGGAGTAAGGTCTGTCTTTTTCCTTAGACTCACATCCCAGCTATGAATTTTGCTCTCCTCAGGGAGTCAAAGCCGCAAACCAAGATTAACATGGGTTTGTTGATCTTTGCATATTTCATACCAAGAAGGAGGCTTTAAAAACTTCCAGGCTTAACTGAATTTCCCTTAGGTGATAGAAATTTCATTGGCCAACAGCACAATCAAAATATGCATATTATCATCTTCTTGAATTCCCAAGCTATTGGGCTTTTAATCTGAATTTGTAAATTCTATTTAAATTTTGCTGGTTAAAGATTCACATAAATCTGCAAGTTTGAAGTTCCACCAATGTTTTTTCTGCGTTTGGTTGCTGACTTATCTGATTTTGATATGAGTTTGATGTTATGATTTACAAGTTATCTCTTTTTTTTTTTTTTTTGGGTTGGGGGTGGATTAAAAGCTCATCTTGAATATATCTTTCACCTGAGCCACTTTGTCTGAGACCCAAATACAAGCATGCTTAAACCAATTGGCATTTGGTAGTATGAGAAAAGCTTGTGTCAGCAGCGGAGCCATTGGGGACACTAGAATAACATTCTTACCCGCTGATTTGGTGTCCCCAGATCCACATATCTTAGCAATTTTTTCATCTTGAGCATTTACTGAGTAACAAATCTTCAAAAGTGTCAGAAGTGCATCGATTCTATCTCCCAAAGTTGATTTGTGCAACTAAAACACATATTTATAGCTATTAAATCAAGTCTTAGTAGACAATCTCTGCTCTATTTAATCTGCACACGTCTTTCTTTTGTTTCCCATGTTTGGATTAAAATCGCCAGTTAAATAACTTGCATTCTTTATGCAAACATGTTTTCTCTTTAACTGCTAAATTGCTCATATCGTGTTGAACCACTTACCAGTCACCACGTTATTGACGCCTTAGTCTTAGTATGCAAATGTGAACTGTGAGCTTATATTCAAAATTCGTTACTGTATGCTCTCACCACCCATTCTGTCGTTTGCAATATAAGTGTATGTATCAGTCAATTTTTTTATATCTTAAATCTAACTTCATTTTTATTTCATTACCAGGGAGAAAGAACTGGCTGCTGTTAAGATAAATGCAGCTGATGTTGACATAATTGCAAATGAACTAGAGGTAACTTCATCTTGAACTTGAAGTTTCACAACTTTTTTAAGCTCATTCTGGTCTAAGATAGATTGGTAACTCTTCTTTAATGTGTTCAACAGTTGGACAAAAAGGTGGCTGAAAGAACCTTGCGTGAGCACAAAGGTGATGCTGTTGCTGCCATTAGGCATTTGCTTCGCTGAAGATTTGGGTCGAAATTTGGATCCTCAAATGTATACCATCAAATGTCTGATTTATTCAGGATTTTCATTTTTAATATTTTGGGGGTGGCAAATTAGATTTTTGCTTTAGTGACAAGTATTACGTGTTTTTAGGTGAAGCCCTGAAAGATCCGCTTTGTATTGAAATTTGCAACGTGCATGGTTTATTTACCAAATTTTGGGTTGAGCGGATGCTTTCTGCATTTCATTACATTCTCAGACACAACT